ATGTCAAATTCAATTTCATAATAAATAGATTTGATCCACACTGAGATTTATATTATGGAAAGCTGTTATAAAGTTTGAACACCTCTTTATATGTGTCCAGATGTGAATTTTTTCTTGTTTTTGCTTGATTTTGTCAATATTGTCTAACTAACTCCACTTTAGATTTGGAATGATTTGTCCCCCATTGTGAGTTTTTGAACGTCTAATGTAATTCAGAAAATGTTGGTAGTTTAGAAGCAGCAATTATTTTACTTATATAAATCAAAGAGGGCTTAGTCATAGTCATGAAGGATATAGTGTAGGAAAGTTGAGTAGCACTGATGCTTTCAGTATTCCAATCCCAAAAATTAGTGTTAAGTATTTAGAATTCATAATTGGATTAACAAAATAGAATGATAATTAACTTTAGAGATGAATAAACATAATGCAAATATTGATGATCAGTTATTAAGATCAGAAACATGATTTAAAATGGTTTCTTCATTTATAGGACCAACGCCTAAACAAGTTCGGGGAGCATCTGGCCAAAATTTTATCTCGGCTTTTTACTGACGAATCACTTTGAAACTTGGTACACATGTCTAAAACCAAAACATAGACAGCTTTTATTCATGTAAATTTTTTGAAAAAATGAAGGAAAACATGAAATTCTTCGAAAAAGGCCAAAAAAGAGGGTACTGTAGAAATCTATCTCCTCCTAGGATTTTCAAACTACAACATCAACATCGAGACGCATATCATTCAATGCATAAAGACCATATCTATTGATTTATTGTAGCTATTTTTGAAATTCAAATTTTTGTGGGTGGGGGAGCATTTTTCATAAAATTTTTTTATTTTCCCCAATTTCCCCCCCTCCCCCCTTCTCCCCCCCTTTTAAAATATTTTCAAAACTATAGCAAAACTAAAAAAAGCTCTAATAAATTCATAGATCTTCTATTAGCAAATTGAACGGTGTATCTCTCATTGCTGTAGCTTAAAAACTCTAGGAGATAGGTTTGCAGTGACATTAAGTTAACTTTTCAGTAGAGCCCGACAAAGTACCGGGCACCTCAAAATGGGCGTTCAAGGTGGCAAGAATGCAAGACTAGGCAATACTGGAGCTCAATTCCTGTCAAGGATGGTGTGAACGATGGCACACGAACCCTCCCATACGACTGCAGGCGGGTAACTGAAGCACATTGTGTTTGGACTAGCTATTTAAGTGTGCTACTGGGAATTTCACACCTATCTTAGATGTGAAAGAACTCCAACACCCCCCACCCTTTCGCGATCTGTCATGAACGCATAAATCCACTTACAGAGATGGTTTTGGTACTGTTTGATAGGCCAGAATGTCAGCTTTAAGATGAGACCAAAAATCAGAAAAGTCAAAATTGAAAAATTTAGGCCAGATGCTCCCTGTAAGCAAGAGATATTTGTGATTTTAATGCTCAATCTTTGCTAAAGTTATATTGACCAATCAGTGGCAGAACAATGCAACACTTTTGCTGCTAATCAATGCTTGGGTTGGTTAACATGTGTTTCTACACTGCAGGCAGTAAAAAAGCATTGTGGGAATGAAGGTAAAATTGTCATCCATACATGCACCCCAAATTAAATTACAATGAATGGATTTGGTAATTATTTCATGAATCCTGTTTATACATGGGAATGGACATGTTCCTACTATTTCAGAATCTGTTCTTGAATAGACTTGTGAAAACTGAACTTCTATTGTCAACGGAGTCTTTTGAAATGACAAAATACGTAGTTTTAAGATATTTAAGAGAGTGAGAACATTGAGAGAGTTGTTGGAAAAATTTGTTTCTTGGCATAAAGGTCCAAGTATATTTTAAACATTCATCAGAGATATGCAAATGCAAATTTTAATTCAATTCAACTGAATATGCAGTATATTAAAGGCTTTATTACTAAAACATTCATTTCAGTTGATTACTAAGAGATTCCCATTCCATTTGATTCCACTTCAGTTCATTAACACGTTGACTACGTATTGGTACATATGCATACCACAAAATGTATTTCTCCAGGAGGTTGCCTAAAATCAGCCACATCCGAAAACAAAAAAGGCCATAAAAGGCTGATAATTCAATGTACCGTAAAATGGGGTAACTTAGACCGGCGGGGGTAACTTAGACCACTTTTCGTTTTTTTAACAAAAACCCCCACAACTCAAAAACTATTTGACATAGAAAAATTTTGTCAATGGGCATTAAAGGTGGAGTTATTTTACCAAAAAATATAATTGATTTTACCACCCGGTCTAAGTTACCACAAGAGCTGGGGTAACAAAGACCATCACTTTTTTTGAAATTACATAAAGACTATGAGAGGCAGGAGCCAGCAATTTATGGTGAGTGAAGCTAGAGTATAGACCTGTATTTTGCATGTTTCAATTCAAGTTTAATTTAGCTAGTAAAAAAATGGCATCATTTATAAAAAAAAGTGGTCTAAGTTACCCCATTTTATGGTATACTAGTTTATTTATTGGTTCTGCTATAAAAATTCCATTTATTTTCTTTTGCAGTATTTAAAATTTAATTAGGTTGTACCCCTATCATAAATTTTAGCCAGCCAAAGTAATTGAGAAAAAACTAAATCATGGAATTTGTCCGGAAAAAATTACCGTCTGGCAACCCTGCTTAAAAAAAGTAAAAAAAAATGAAATGATCGTACAAGATGAAGCAATCGTAGTCAACATGTTAATCAAAGAGATTGCCAGTGCTGCCTGAAAATTTACCAGAATGTTTCTAATACAAGATAGTTGGCAAGTGTATATTGAAATGCCAACCATTATTTGGAAAAGTTCAGTTACATGGGTGCTTTCAGTGTATGAACATGTATGTGATTTTGCTCCCTATAAAAGCTTATGCAGTGTGCATCATGTTAAACTCTTACTGATGGCAGGATTTGTTATTAATTCATGAATGTTAGTTGTTCTGCTTGACTTGGAGATCAATTGTTAATGAACTATTATTTAATCTGATTAAAATTTTAAAGTGTGGCAAACTTTATTCTCGACTCTTTTCAAGTGCAAATTTAATCCCTCCTATTTTTTATCCTTTCTATCTTAACTAAATTTTTTGGACCACAAAAGTGAAGGAGGCAGATCAAAAATAGTATATGAAAAATCTTGCCCATAACAATGGTCCTTACCTGATTTCTTCAATGAAAAATATCAGATACTGTATTGTTATTAATCCCTGTGATTTCCAAATATCAGCCTTGAAATGATGGTGCTTGTGTACATATAGTCTGGCATTTCATGTTGCTAAGAAAACGCTTTGCAAATTTTATCTGAAATAACTTCTTGAGATACTAACAGTCTATTATTCTCTGTCATTTTTTGAAATCTGAATTTTGTAATGTCTGATGATGTATATAATGGATGTCATAACTTGAATGTACAAACTGTAGAGGCCATAAAAGTAATTACAGTGCTATAGGTACTAGGTAGCTCCTATACTATCAGGAGTTGCTATAGGTGCTTTTAATGAGAATTTTTATTTTATAAATCAGTTCATTCTTTGTTCATTGATATAGATAATAATTGTATTCAATATGTAATCTATGTATGATAGTGCTGTGCTGGTATCTATGGTACTTTACTGGTATAGGTTATGGTACTTGTAGAACTTGAAAGGGAAGAGACCAAATTTCTTCTTTACAGTTATTCTTGTAATAAAATCGCAAAATACATCGAAGTGATCAAATGAATCTGTCATCATACCTCACGGGAGGTTAAAATACTGTCAATTATATCTCCTAACAACCAAATTGAATATGCAAACATGCTAGAAAAGGAAATTAAACGTTTATATATTTGGTGTGGTTAGTGTTCATATAAATAATCCTAAGGTTTCTTCCACAAACCACAACTATTCTTGCCATTCTTCTCCTACCACTCTCTCATCCCCTAATACTACTCCATTTAGTGATGAACTCTATGTTTGTAATTAAATTATGTGTTCCTATAATCCGGCCTATTTAAATGATGACATAGGTAATTCTATACTTCTGAGTTGTAATGTATGATTCTATTCCATTCACTCTAATTCAATCCACTGCTAGATGAGCAGCTTTTTTCATTTCCTTCTAAACTATGGAGTCACAGCCACCCCAACGCTTGTGAACTAACATCCCAATGCTTTACACAATATTTTATATGTTTACTATATTTTTTATCACATCTGCAACATATCTTTGTACTCTTGATCACAGCAAAAGTTGCCTCCTTAGAAAAACCCACAACAATCACTGCAATCTTCAAATATCCCTCACACCACCTGCCACTCTCAACCCTCTCCTCCCTCATTCACAATTTATTCCATTATATCTCGTCTTTCTCATTTGTTTCATATTTGACCATCATGCTCTTGGAAAAATGATTGGTTCATATTATCAAAATGGAGACACACTGGCTTGTCCACAACACGAGCAGAGTGGGCAGGCATAGCACTGATATGCTCTTTTACCAGGCCAACAAAACCTCTGTATAATATATATATACAGGAGTTGGACAAAATAAGGACTAAACAGTTTGAAATTATAAATTTTTACTTGCTCTTAACAATAAAGACTTGATATTTTTTTATTTATTGTTTTTTTTTATTACTGCTAATTAATATTTTGTGCTTCTCAAATAATTTCAAAATTTCTCATGTCTATAACCTTATTAAAATGATAAACCTCTATGTCTTTCAAAAAGGCAAAATTGTTGATGCTCATATGGCAGGTGTATGAAACGCTAACAATTCACATATGTATGAAGCAATGCCATAGAGAATTGAGACTAATTGCCAAAAAAGTTTAACCTATGCCATACTAAAAATGTATTTTGTAGATTTTCAAGGTATTATTGTCCTTATATTGTCCAACCTTACAGCAATGATGTATATAGACCTTATAAACTTATGATGTATTGTAATATTTCCATTCTTTTATGGGCATGCATTGCAATTTAAATGTTGATGACTAATTTGTTACATTTCTTCTCCAGTTTTTGGTAGTAGAGTGTGTTTACAGATGAATGATATATCAACATTACTGTATTAAAGTCAGCTGCTGAAATATTTCATGCTAGGTTTCATAATTGAGTGTACATATATATACTGCTGATGGATTGTGACCAGTATTACGCAGCATAAGTAAATACATTTCACTTATTCTCTGCACAATGCTCAAATTTTCATATTTGGTTTTTGAACTTGACTAGCATTTCATAAACCTAGTGAACTTTGTGGCCTAACTCAAGCAACACGCCGCCATGTCAGCCAGCGTCAGAACCACCCTACAGACCGTCCCAGAGGCCCTACCTACTGACCATGTCTCTAAAAATAAAGTAAGTTATAATAAATTATTTTCTTGATTTATGCAATATTTTTTAATGTCTACAAAGAAACCCTACTCACTGATCATGTTTAAGAAATTAGGTAAGTTTTAATAAATTTTTTCCCTAATCTATTTAAAATTTATATGTGCTTCTAGGAAAAACCCAATCCCACCAATCGTATTTCTGAAATAAATTTCTACTCGAGTATTTAGCTGGGATTAACGAGATTAGCTCGGTGCTCAACATCTGTGTATCTTGATTGAGATTAACTGAATGGATTACATTGTCCGAATATTGACGCACTTTCTTACCCGCAGCAAAAGCAAACAGTGTAGCGCGGACCAAAATGGGTCAGGTAGCCACAACAAGAGATAAAAAGTACTTTGCTATTTGGACAAAATCTAATTCATTTCTTTGCGTGCAATTTACTACCGTCCCCTTCTGAACCATGCGTCCACTAAAATTGTGGTGTCGTTTCTACGCTCAACTAATTTTGCTGTAACCCCCCAAAATGCAAACAAATTCAATTTTATTTATATATTTTCTATTTGATCTCGTTCAATGTGAGAGATAAGGAGCCACAAGTTTGACAAGTGCCCGCGGTGCAAATATATATACCAGAGTTTGATTTACTTCACCCTCAAGCGTGAATTTATATTTCACATGCTTAAATAACGTAAAAATACGTCAAATTTTGTGTTTTATATTTTTTTCACTGTTTTCATGAAGTATTTTCTGTGAATGTATTTGCATTAAGGGACGAATAGGGCAATGTTGCGTGAAGTGCGACTATGGCTCTTATCTTCACAGTTGTTAATGATACAGGTAAATTATCTGATAAGAGAGGAAGTTAAATTCGCTGAAAACACATGGCACATCATCATGACGAAAGATCATTGCAACATGAATGTAATGTTATGACATGAACGTTATGAAATGAAATCAAAAGCCCCTAGACGCTCCGCCACCCCTCGCCCCCCTTCTCTGACTCATTCAATGCTCCCCAGCTTCAGTTTCAGCTTCACAAGAATATCTTTCTTACGCATGTGAATTATTGCATCGTCTCTAGTAACATTGCTGCTCTGAAGCTACAGCTCTTCCACACATTTGTCTTTTGCCAATTCGTCGTTCACATTTATGCTTCACAATCGTCTCTAATACAGTCGTTCTTAATACATTCATCCTTCACGCTCACCTTTCACGTTCGCCTTTCACGTTCGTCTTTCACATTCGTCTTTTCACACTCGTCTTTTCACATTCGTCTTTGTACATTCGTCTTTTCACATTCGTCTTTGCACATTCGTCTTTTCGCATCCGTCTTTTCACATTCGCCTTTTCACATTTGGCTTTTCACACGTCTTTTCACGTTCGTCTTCCAGAATCCTCTTTCACATTCGTCCTAACATTCGTCTTCTAGATTCTTCTTTTGCATTTGTCTTCACATTCCTATTTCTAATTCGTCTTCACATTCTTTTCACACAAATTTTCACATTATTTACCCATTCGTCTTCAAGATTCGTCTTTCACTCACGTTCGTCTTTCAATCACGTTCGTCTTTCACTCAGGTTCGTCTTTCACGTTCGTCTTTCACGTTCGTCTTTCACGTTCGTCTTTCACGTTCGTCTTTCACGTTCGTCTTTCACATTCGTCTTTCACATTCGTCTTTCACATTCGTCTTTCACATTCGTCTTCCAGATTCCTCTTTCATGTTCATCTTTCACATCTCGTCGTTCTTGGGTTCCTCCAAAATTACTTGTTTACAATTATACACGAGTCTTAAACTCTTAATTCTTCGATTTACTTTCTTACACCAGAAACATTTCTTTCATGAAAAGAGAAAATTATTTTGATAATACCAGCCTGTATAGATATGAATGGCAATTTCCGCTTTCTTCCTGCGTAATATTCACATTTCTCACCATGATTGAATTTTGCGCTAAATAAAATGTTAAGGGTCTAATGGTTGCCTGTGTGTCTGTTACATGGATACAGGAAAACTTACCTTAAGGCACATTTATTGTACATTAACACGTTTTGAGTTGAGTATATTTTTATGTCCCGCACGATATTGTATTGTGAATCTAACCGCAGCAATGCTTTATATAGTATAATTAGTCGGAATAGTTTTCATGTTTGTAGTGTTTTTTCTTTTACTTGGTATAGTCTTTTTAGCGCATTTTCTCATTTGTGAAAAAAATGCACTATTGTGCTCGCCATGTCCGTCTGTCTGTCCGTCCGTGACTTCACGTTTTCGTCGACGAGAAAATGCGCTCTCTGTCACTCACTGCAGTGAGTACTGAGTTATATTTTTTTTGTATGTTCATGGTGAGAAAATATATGTATAGTATCGGCTCGAGTGAGTTGCATTGCTGGAACTGATCGCTCATTTATGTCAGGTTCGGAGCTCGAGTCGCTCTTCCACTCCTCACGCTCAGCAGTCGTCCAGAAAAGTGAGTACATGAATTACTTTTTAATTACAAAAATTACCTTTTAGTTACGAAAATTACCTTTTAGTTACAAAAATTACCTTTTAGTTACAAAAATTACCTTTTAGTTACAAAAATTACCTTTTAGTTGCAAAAATTACCTTTTAGTTACAAAAATTACCTTTTAGTTACAAAAATTAGTTTTTAGATACAGAAATGCCCATTCCAAATTGTTTCGTCTTTAGGCGAGAGGAACGGGAGTATGGAACGGATTTGACGAATATTTTACGCACGATATAACATTCGCGTTACCCATACAGAAAATTTTAACCGGTAACAGCAACCCGAGGTTAATGAGAGGTTCCAAGTCTGGTATGAGTTGTCGTTATTGCTGAATGACTGGAATATTCCTGTTGCTGCGAAAGTTTTTAAAAATATTTTCTTTCGACCTTGAAAAGTGCCGAAATCCAATGCTTTGTCTTGCATTGAAAAAAATGTACGTTTTTTAAGTGTGTGTACAGTATTGGACTATGGACCGCTTGATTTCTCAATAAATAAATTGAGTCAATTATCTACTGTGGAGACGTTTGCTTGTCGAATTTTTGGCAGGTTTTGGAATTTTTCGATATTCTTTGCTGACTGACCAGTGAGGTGATTATTTCGATGATTTGCGTATTGTCAACTTTTTTATATTTTACGGAGAAATTTCAATTCAAGTGAAACTGCAAGATGGATGGATCGACTCTTTTTACTGTATCGTGATTTGGACGATGTATGATATTGAATGATGTATTCAGGATACGCCTTATACGACAGGAAGCTTTGTTGTTAACGATAATAATTGTTTGATAAGCCTTTGTTTTGTATCATAAATAAACAGTGGTGTTAGAGGATATATTTTAAGTAGATACTAATTTTATGTGTACGTTTTCCGTGATAGTTCCGTTGAGAAATTTCTATCTTTTTTTCTTTGTTAGCGTGGAAACGCGGAAGCAAAGTTGCAAAAATGAAGAAAAAATAAATAAAAATCAACAACGTAGGAAAATCACGTGGAAGTAAAGTGGTATAAAAGATATCGGAATAATCTCGAGTTGTGCTGTAAATAATGTCTAGTGCAACCAAAAAATGAAATTGAATACTCTAAACCTGGATTGTGTTCAGCATTTATCTACAATCCAGTCCATTAATACTTTTGCTATGAAGCTAACGCCTCAGATCTCTAGCATTAACCTCCTTAGTCATCCATGAATGACTCCTCCGTCTCTGGCAGCTTCTATGAGGAAATTACGCGAAAAATCTGAGAAAAGAAAGATAATGGCTTCAGAGACATGGCTGGAAGCCAGAGCTCTCTTCGGCTGGCTGAGCCAAGTGGCTGTTGTTGCAAGTGGCTTTTTGCAATTATGGCTGAGCGCTTATTGTTTCCGCGGATGCTTTCATTTCCCTTGTCCGTATTAGTTTATCAATAAAATTTATTTTAAGGCTATAGTTCTTGCATTTATGTATATTTAAGTGTAAAAGATTATTTATTGGAGATCATATTAGGACACAGTGTTCTTCTTGCAAGACCGCCATGTCAGACTGGCTTCCAAGTACGGCTGTGGCCGCCGCGGCGGCGGCGGTCGGCTGGCTTTCGCACGTCAGTTGAACGGAAGTCAGTGCCGAGTGAGGTTGTGTACTCGCCCTCGGTCCTCAGGAATAAGCTCTAGTAAATCCTTGCTGTCACCTTGAGGCTGAGCTGTAGGTTGCTCGCCCTTAGTAAAGGCTTGTGTTATCCTGTAATCGTGTACGTGGATCTGCGTTACATGCACATCTTGAAAGTGCAACCGTACAGAGATTGTCTATGTCACAGTTGAGCGTTTGCAGTGTCAGCTTCTGGAGCGATTCAGGGTGCGGTAGCTGAATGTTGCTCCAGCTGTGATGGTGGTGTGATGAACCAGCTGTGATGGTGGTGTGGTGAACCAGCTGTGATGGTGGTGTGGTGAACCAGCTGTGATGGTGGTGTGTCCAGCTGTGATGGTGGTGCGGTGAACCAGCTGTGATGGTGGTGCGGTGAACCAGCTGTGATGGTGGTGTGGTGAACCAGCTGTGATGGTGGTGTGGTGAACCAGCTGTGATGGTGGTGCGGTGAACCAGCTGTGATGGTGGTGCGGTGAACCAGCTATGATGGTGGTGCGGTGAACCAGCTGTGATGGTGGTGTGGTGAACCAGCTGTGATGGTGGTGGTGTGGTGAACCAGCTGTGATGGTGGTGGTGTGGTGAACCAGCTGTGATGGTGGTGGTGTGGTGAACCAGCTGTGATGTACCGTAGTGTAGATGTTGTGAATGTGTTGAAATCCTCATATTGTGATGAACTGTATTAATGTGATGAAATAATGATCCAGATCTGTTGGTGGATTGGTGTTACATTTTCTAGTTAATATATTCATTATTCTTTGCTTCAAAAACGTCGAGTTAAGCCAATAAATCATGCTGATCATTGAATCTCCATGTGTACTGAAAAAAATCGTTGAACAGTTGATTCTCCGGAAAATAATAAAGCTAATTTGCATTCATTTGCTATTACATCTTTTAGTCTCTACGCGTAGACAAATCAATGAAATTGTGTGTTTCTACCAAACATTTGAAAATCAAGAATATAAATGAAGTTTTCTACTTTATATGAATAATATCAAGTTGAAGGTAGTCTGTTCTAACTCTCCCAGAACAAATTCTGCTGTGCCCTTTCATATCACTTCTATTGGCCATAGCTTCACTCAGAGAAATTAGTGAGTTTTTTTCCTAACGGCAATGCACTTCATATCCTTGTGTAGGTCATTTTAACTCAGTTTGGCCTGGCTAATGGCGTGTCGGTGCTACGTCCGCTCTCTGCTCATGCTGTTGGTAGGAAAGTATGTCGCTATTGGGACATTATGGCCCATTTAATTTTCCGAGTGCTGCGTCCGGGTTATGTATGTAACCCCCACAACACCAGCAACCACCGTGACGTCACTCACTCCCCCCCCCCTCTCCCCCTCCCCCCTCGCTGGGGATCATGTGTACCGCGGGGCGTGTCCCAAACATGTCCCGTATTTCTAGGACCCTGAGGGCGTTTTTTTCGTGTCGCCGACATGTCTCGTGTTTATATAAATGAACTTGAAAATGGATGTTGCTGCTTTCGAAACATCGTTAATATGTTATTATTATTTGCTAAATCTGCCTTTTGATCTACCAACGTCATCTAAAGAATTTTTCGACTCCTTGAAATTATAATGCACCCTCTGGTCATTAATTGTACTCATTCAAACGAAAAAATTCTGCCACCTCATATTTTTTATTTATAATATACACGTATACTTTGTATATATTTATACACATATACATATAAAAAATTATTCCGTGAACACCAACATGTACAGATCCAGGGTATTTCATTTCATGTTAGTAACATGTTTATATTTTATGCACATAAACTAAATTAATAACAGAAGGCGAACATGTTCGAACCTTCATGTCGACGCTCACTCTTTCATGTTGACGACGTGTCTTATAACAGAAATAACGGCGTATCAGTGCTACGTGCAAGAAGTGTGTCACTTTTTGAACAACATGACCAATCCATTTTTCTCTGAGTGTAAGTATACACAGTTATCTTGAAGCAGGATATTGATATTTTTCATTGCTTCATTGTGAACGTTGTTAATATAAAGATTGTAATAGAAAGTTACTTGAATTACTGATATTCATAGCTTCGCGCAGGCGTGGTTATTAAAGAAAGCACTAGCTCTATAGCACAGCTGGTTAAGCTATATATATAAAGCTGGTGAAGTAAATATACAGCTGGTTAGGCTATGTATACAATGACGGACTTGGCATACCAAACTGTTAGCGAGTAGGTAAAGGCTCAGCTACTGAACGCGTGGATGAGGGCGTCGTGTTTACATTCGTATGGATGTGTGCGTGTGAGTTGTCGCATACGGATGTGTTATGTGTTTTACAAACATACGGATGTGTTAATATTTCTTTTAAATTTCATATTTCATAAATTTGCTTGTTTGCGTGAGTTTACTTACGTAAGGATATATAAACGTACGGAGGTGTTAATTTTTTCTCTTGTATTTCATAAGTATAGATGTGTGCGTGAGTTTACTTACATACCTATGGATTTACAAACGCACGGATGTTTTCGCATGGTTAAATTAGATACGAATGCGTGCGTGTGGTCGTAGGCGAAAATAAAACGGTGCCTCGAAGTAGAAGCAGTCACAGCTTACGTTTTTGTTATACACAGTCGCGCACATTTTTGTTAACCAGCAACCGCGCAAAAAAACTTTTGTTTTTTTGCCGAGTCCTGAATGGCTTCTTAGGACACGACGCCTGAGACTGTAATAGCAGGGCGTGTATTTACTGCCTCCTACTTTCCTGGTATTTGCCAATTATTTTAGTCGTCGCCACGAAATGAAATGTCACTAAAATTAAATGTCTCAACTGAAATGTCGAAAATAAAATCAGACGCCAATAAATGAAAATGTTGTCACTAAAATTTAATGTCACTAAATTGAAGTGTGGCAAATAAAATAAGCTGTCTTACCTGAAATCGAATGATCCCTCCATTGTTTTAAAGATCACTTCTAATAAACAAGGCTGGTCAGAGTGAAAATATCCTTGGGGTTTCAAAATTGAAATTCATCTCTAATAACATTCAGAAAATTCAGTATGCATGACAAGCAATAAAACTTCTTATAAGAAAACGTGTACACACACGCCGAGATGTTGAAATGAGTTGAATTTGGCCTCTCTAAAGGCCTACCTTCTAGCACAAATCTATCCACATTATTTTTATTGCATGATTAATCTTTTTTTTTATTAAATGATTCAATTTTAAGCTAATCGAATACACACCACGTGAATTCAGCGTGTCGATTTTTGTCGCTTTATTTGTCGAATGGAATCTTGTTAATTCTTGAGTTATCTTGCACCTTAACGAATTAGGCACTTTAATTTTAGGCTAATTAAAAAGTTAGCACGTGTATTGAGCACGTCGGCTT